AGAGAGAGTTAAGTTCAAATAAAAACAATAAATAATATGAAAACGTAAAAACACTATGTTTATGTTATTATTCTTCAATGAATGTTGTATATATGTATTATTAAAGTAATTCTAATGTGAATATTAACGTTTGATTATTCATATATTCATTAGAATGTTACTACTATTATTCTATTATAAATTTTGCATATGTGTATTATTATAGTAAATTCTAATATTAGTTTTAACATGTGATTATTCATCTATTCATTGCTGAATAATGACATAAAGCTACTGATACAAAATTCATTGCAGGATAATAACATAAAAATAGTGTTTTTTTACGTTTTCACACTATTTATTATTTTTATTTAAACTATCATATATATACACACACACACACACACAAACCGTTTACCCGCGCTAAGCGACGGGTGCGAATAATTTTTTTTCAAAAATTATTGTATAGGCAACTAGTTTTTTTACACAAATGAGAGTAGGTTGTTGAGGTATGAAGTCTTGTCCAACATGGAGCACTTAGATCACAATGGTGCACTTGGGGTTCATGGAGCATGTGACAAAGAAACAGATCATCTGAGAAAGGAATGAATCTTCTGACAAATGAATGGATCAAGTGTCAAAGGAACGAATCCTACAGAAGGGGGTTTGGAGCACCTGGAAGAGGTTTGGAGCACGTGGGAGTGATATGGAGCAACAAGGGGACCTTGTTGCTCCATCTGTTGAAGACTTGGGCCAAGAAGGATGTTGGTGCGCCAAGGGCACTCCTTCTTGCACCAAGATACTCCCTGTTGCGCCATGGGGTGTCCCTCTTGTGTCATGAGGTACTCCTGTTGCGCCATGGAGTATGTTGTTGCGCCAAGCATGGTCTTGTTGCGCCATGCATGTTATTGTTGCGCCAAGATGGTGATGTTGCTCCAACCTAGATGCTATTGTGCCACACCTGTTGCCTCTTGCGCCATCCATATTACTGTTGTGTCATGATGGCGCAAGATAGACTATCTTGGTCCTTGATGAGCCAAGTATGCTATGAAGTCCTCTGTGATGCTCAAGATGAAAGAATGTTCCATAAGATGATGCATGGTAGAATATGATTGGTTGTCCCCATTCATGGGCCTATGGGCCAATAGGCTTGGCCCACTAGGGTTTTAGGTTTGATCCTTCAAGTATAAATAGGCTCATACCCCTATCATTATAAATTGCTAGAATTCGGTGAGCTCTCAAAAAGTGAGATACAATTTTGAGTGCTTGTAATTGTTCCAGAAAGTTAATAAAATCATCTCTCTCTCGTTCGCCCGTGGACGTAGGTCACCTTGATCGAACCACGTTAAATATTGTGTTCTTTTGATTTATGTTTTTCAGAATCTTGTGAGTTCATCGAATTTTGTTTTTGATATTTTTCTGAAGTGCTTAACTTGTTTTGTTGTCACCCAACAAACTGGAATCAGAGCTATGGCTGAAGACGGGAGAGTTAATATCGACAAGTTCAATGTAAAAGATTGTGGTTTCTGGAAGATGCAAATTGAAGACTATCTCTACCACAAGAATTTACATGAACCGTTGTCAGAAGATAAGTCGTTCCTTATGAAGCGGGAGGATTGGGAGTTGTTAGATCGGCAGGAACTTGGTATGGTGCGTTTATCATTGGCAAAAAACGTTTCTTACAACATTGTCAATGAGAAGACAACTTATGGGTTGATTAAAGTGTTGTATAACATGTACGAGAAACCTTCAATGGCGAATAAGGTTCACTTGTTTCGACAATTAGTAAACCTGAAAATGAAGGAAGGTGGCTCAGTGACTGATCATGTCAATGAATTTAGTTCAATCTTATCAATGTTGACATCGGTTGAGATTAAATTTAAAGATGAAGTTCAAGCACTGTCACTGATTGGGTGGGATGTTTTTTGCATCCCGACATTGCTTTAGGCTTAAGCATGTCACAACTCAGTCGGTCCTTGATTTGGTTGTTGGGGGCATCGCTACTCGTCCCGATTGTTGGCATAGGTTGGCTAGGTAATTTTAGTTTGTGTGGTTTGAAATTTATTCACGTTCAAATTCTGATTTCCTTTCACATACATCATTAGATTAAGGAAGCTGATAAATCCACTGCTTTTTTTATCGATCCACATACTTTTGCTAGTAATGGACCATTATGCCCCTAACTTAATTATATAATGTATTTTAAATATTCCAAGGGCTTTTTGGGAGCTGATTTGATTCTCTTTCCAAACACAACCACAAATAGCTCAATCTTCCTCCTTCAAAGCTGCAATGTGATAAACTCATCGGAACGGAATACAACCGGCAATTGATCGTGTCACATTTTCCCCTCCGAAACCATGTTGTTCCTATGAACCCAATTCGTATATCCTCCGTTTCATGGTGATTTCCATCCGGTTTTCGATTTTACAGCGGACTTTTCCTTTTCTCCATGTTCTCAGATCCATTACCATTACACTGGTCTTGGTCTTGAAGTAACCGGACTTTCTCGACCCAAAAGTGTGTGACATTACCAAGTCGGACCAAAATTAATTTGTGATGTTTATGTGACAGCATTCCGAAGCTCCGATGACGCGGTTCTGGACGGCTGTCTTCCCGGTAAATGTAAACCTTATAGTTGAGCGACGGGAATATGTTACTAACCAGTCGTGTTAAGAAACATGGACTCTCCGATCACTGCATTTTGGTCCTTCAACACATTACGAAGATTGCAAAACGTATACGTCGGTTGAAGATTGAAGCGCCAAAGTAGGAAGGAACGTCATGAGGAAGAAGGAGTGTTGAGGCGCATAAAAGAAGCCGTGTAATAATTAAAATCTAAAATACACTATCTATCATTAGGTAACAAATTATGTGGATGAATAAAAAAAATAAGCGGAAGAATCAGGTCCCTCAGGTTAAGGATCATAATCTACAAGAAATAAGTCAAATAACACATATAAGAACATGTTACAAAGTTCATTAACATACATCTAATATTTGCAAGATTAAATTTTTAAACTCGAATTACAAGCACACTAACCGTCTCGCTCTAAATTTTCATCAGCCCCCTGCGTTGGCTCCTCTTTCACCCTTTCATCTACACAAGGACCATAAGCCCAACTACACCCAACAAAATAGAACAAGTTCACAAAACTCAGTATCACAAGAACCCAATAGTAATAATCATAGTGTCCCCTGTTAATATTCGTGGCAATCCACCCTTCTTCCACATTTCCTTTTGTCAGTTTCTCAACAGTGCTCAGTATAACACTAGCCAACAAGTTAGCCACACCCATGCCAACTAGAAAAAGCGAACCTGCAACACTCGACATGCTTTCCGGCAACTCTGAGTAAAAAAACTCGTTTTGAGCGATCGCACTCAACGCCTCCGCTAACCCATGCAGACAATACTGCGGAACGAGCCACATCGCCGACATGTTTACCACTGCTCGAGGATCGTTTACAATCCCTTCTTCGATTGCTTTTCTTCTTCGAAGATGTTCAACAATGGCAGAAACTACCATGGCCAATGTAGAAACTATAAGGCCGATGCCCATTCTTAATTTAACGTTGATATGAACAGGTTTTTGTAGGATCCTTGATGTGATGGGGATAATGATGCGATCGTATAGAACGACCCAGATTGCGATTGTGGCCATGGTGAAGAAAGGGAATGAGCCTGCGGGGATTTGGAAGGTTGAAGTGCTTAGATGTCGATCCATGGTGTTTGCTTGGAGTACTGGGAATGATGATTGGCTTACGTTTATTGACATCATGAGACCGGATGACCATAATGGTAGAACTCGGATTAGTGATTTTAGTTCTTCAACTTGTTTCACTGTGCATAGACGCCATGGATTTGAAGCAATGCCGTCTGGTTTTACGTCTTTTGGGTTCCGAATTATGCAAGCTTTATTTAAGAATCTATAAATTAAAATGATCAAATATATTAGCAATTCATGAACTAGTTAATGAGCTTGAGTTAAGACCCACTACTAATCGGGGCTCAACCTTCGGTTATCTCAAAAAAAATTGAGTTTTTTTTTTACATAAATAAATCGTGTGAAATCAGCGACTTCAATCAATCATACTCTATGTTAGGAGGAATTTCGGTATTTTCTTCAATCTTCATAATAAGTTAAATTGTGTAGAGATTTAAAATGGATATTATTTTTTGTGTTTAATAAATAGACAAATCAAATTTAATGTCATAGTATTCACTTTACATCAAACATCAACTTTATGTATATATGGTTTTTCAAATATTGAAAAATAGAAATTAATTTACATAAGATAAATCATTACAAAAATAGATATTTAAAATGATATCCAAAACTTTTAGTATACATTTAATTTTATAAACTTATTTTACATTAAATATTATCAAAATTAATTAAGTTATATATAATTAAATATTGTAATTATTACGTTTTAATAAAAAATAATATAATAAAATATATTTTATTAATAAAAGGTTAAAGAGATGTTTACTTATGATTTGATAGGTTGAGCGTGTGGGTGGAGTAAGAAAAAACATTGACCCTAATTTGTTTATCTTCTGTGTAAACAATCGTCTGACTGTTGATATACCTGAGTCTTTCGGTAGGCGTGCTATCTGAATCATTCTGATGATAATAAAACTTGTTTGCAGGTCCAACGACTATTCCACGGTTCTTATAAACAACAACTATAACTTGCACAAAGCTTGTAAACAAGCTCTTTTCAACTTCCAACTTGACATAAAGAGAAGAAGCTACAAAGAACAAGAGGACCGATAAAACCATGAGAAGTGCCGGAACCCCAAATCCGATCTTCCATCCGGCATGATCTTGAATATAAACAATGCTTGTAAATGCAATGAGGACCGCCACCGCACTAGTGGCATAATACCACCCAAAAAAGCTTTCGATTGCCCTCTTATTGTTTGGATTGTTTTTATGGTTTATTTGTTGTGCACCAAATGCTAATGAACATGGTCTAACACCCCCACTTCCAATAGAGATGAATATGAAGGCAAATATCAAGAAAGCAAATTGAGAGTGTGTAGGTGATTTGCAAGTTTCAAGGAATTGGTTGCAAGGGGGTGGCTTTAGTTGTGGGACCATTGTTGTTAACCATATCATGAACATTCCCTGAAATAATACCAAATAGGCAATGTTTTTATTGGTTACAAATTGTCAAATATTTAAGATAGTTAGGGTACACTAGACATAAGGAAATTGAAGGAAAAAATAAACAAGCAACAAACTTGTAAAATATAGGAATTAGTGATAAAGGCACATTTTCTATTAAGTTAAAAGATAAGAAAAAATAATTAAAAAAAAAAGATATAACTGCTTAGATGAAATAGTCACCGCAATTTTTTTCTCGAAACCAAATTCGGTGTAAAACAGTAAAAGCAATATTCTACCAGGGATGTCTAAAAAGGCACTTCATTACATAAAAAATAAAAAAAATAAAATAAATGAAAAATGAAATGCCTTTGTATAAACAATATTGTGTACAGTATTTAACCATGTATTTATTATATATATAACTAAAAAAAAGGTTATGGGTCAACCCAATTGACACGATCCGTTTGCAGTTTTATTTTGTAGTTACTCGGTTTAACTTATTATCCAACATGTGTGTTTTGTCACATTTTCGCCAAATGTAGGATATGTCTTCCTGAAGTTCCACTAAAATATTACCGGAAAAAAAAATCAACATTATTGTTATTTTAATGAAAGTGAAAATTGAGTAAAATATTACCATAAGTGAAAAGAGAGACCCCAAGCCAATGGTGATGAAGTGACCCAAATATGAATCCGAAAGGAATGCTCCGAAAATTGGTGCAAAATTGGAAGCTGCTGACCAAAAAAAGATTATGTTTGTGCCTTTTGCCACACCAATCTTGTAATCATTCATCAAATACACTATCATATTTGGCACCAATCCATAGCTTCCCATCTTCTCAAATGCCTCATTTGCTGCAAAAAATTTCAAGATTCAGGAAACCCACATTAAATGAAGTGTTAAACTTCAAGACTCAAGAAACCCATGTTGTAAAAAATGTGAGGTTGATTGTAAAAATGAAAGCTTTATGGTTCAAGTGGGGTTACATACCTATAATAAATGGCATTGTGATTAGGCCACCTTTGTTTCTCGTCGAGAGGTGTGTTTGGTGGTTCACTTCCTCAACTTCCTCCCCCATTTTCAAATGAGTCTTGTGTTTCTCTCTTTCTCTCTCACCTACAAGAAAGTATTTGTGGGATCTAAAGTCTTGTGGGATCTCTCTCTATATATCCTAGTACGAGCTTTAGCTTCAAAAAGAAAAAAGAAAACCCCACAAGTAGTATTTGATGTCTAGTTGATCGTATGTGTGTTATTAAACTTTATAAAAGCGTGTTGTTAATTGTGTTGAATTACAGGGTTATCTAGAGGAAACAGTTATACAACATCAGGAGATATTAAGGGATAATGACTTAAAAGGGTAACATATTATTCGATTTGTACACATTTGGTCACTGAGTTTTTTTTTTCGTCCACATTTACCCCTTAAACTTGTTAAACTGTACACATTCAGTCCTTATGACCTGTTACTCCAGGCTAGCCGGGAAAAATGACTGGATAGGGTAATATATTTTTCATTTTGTACACATTTAGTCCTTAATATTTTTGTACATATTTAGTCCTTAACATTTTTTTTGTTTCAAAATAAGTCTTTTTTTTGTATTCATTCAGTACTTATGAATGATTTCTTTAAGTTTTTTCACGACATCTTACGTGAGACAATTATTGATGAGGTGCTTGGGGTTGTTGATGCTTATGTCCAATGCGATATCGACTGCTTGGTTGCATAAGTCTTGTGGTTTGGCTTAGGTCTTGTATTTTGAACATCGTAACTTCTTCATACGATATCGGATTTTAAGGATCTTTATCCACGTGTTCATTTTTGAGTCTACTACAACTTTCATTAAGATTACTCCCGTTAAAATGTAATATATTTTTACTAACGATTTTATAAAAAAAAACATACATACACACATTCATAAAAAAACGTATAGACAGGGGAAGACGCAGTAATACATAGTAGGTGTTGCCGAGATGAAATAGGTGTTGCCGATATATGGAAAATAGGTAAAAACGTAAAAAATAAAGCGAAAAATTTTCTATTGCGAACAAAAAAAACAGGTGTTGTAGGTGCAACACCGGGACCATACAAAATCCGCCACCACGTATGGATATAAAAATCGTAAGTAAAAATATATTATTTTTTAATGGGAGTAATCTAAATGAAAGTTGTAGTAGACTAAAATACGAACACATGGATATAAAGATCGTTAAAATTCGAGATCATATGAAGAAGTTATGACGTTCAGAACACATGACTTAAGCAACCAAGTAGTCGAGATCGCGATGGATATAAGCATCAAAAGCCCCATACACCTCATTAATGAATGTCCCACGTAAGATTTCGTGAGAAAAAACTAAAAAATCATTCATAAATACTGAATGAGTACAAAAAAAATGACTTATTTTGCAAAAAAAAGGACTAAATGTGTACAAAAATATTAATGACTAAATGTGTACAAAGTGAGAAATATATTACCCTATTAAGTCATTTTTACCGGGGGTAACCTGGAGTAGCCGGTCATAAGGACTGAATGTATACAGTTTAACAAGTTGAAGGGGTAAATGTGGACGAAAAAAAACTCAATGACCAAATTTATACAAATCAAAAAATATATTATCCTTTTAAGTCATTATCCCAGATATTAATGGAAGATATGAGAGTTTCATGTAGAAGGCAAGCATTAATGACTTACGAAATAAATATGTATTTGTTTTAAATAAGTTTTTTTTTTTAAGTAATACTAACGAAAAAGAAAATAATCAAAATATGATTATAGTATTATACTAAAAGGTTTAAGCTGGAATTATGATCATCTTGATATTTTTGGCGTGTCACACAATAAGCTTAGCATGTTTAGCACAAAAAAATGTAAGGAGTGGAAGTATAACATTTTAATAGGTTTAATTTTGAAGAAAAAAAATTATAATAAATAAAAAAAATACAAATTAACCAATCACAACACATCTTTATACTTTATTTCTCCTCTTTCTTCCGTATACACACATAACAACTTTTTCTCAGCACACTTCTTAGCACAAATTAGAGGGTGGTGTAACATCCTTAACACCTCCCACTCTCTCTCTCTCTCTCTCTCTATATATATATATATATATATATATATATATATATATATATATATATATAATATATATATATATAATATATTATATATCCTAAGTAAACGTTGCTTATTTTTTATAAATAAACTTTAAATTTATCAATTAATAGACAAACATAATCTTTTTCAGGATTCTTGTCAGTGAGTGGGCAGGGTGATCAGAATTCAGAAGGGAATGCCCAAGTCTTTTATTTTTATTTAATTTTAATAACTATGCTTATGGTCGAATATAAATTGGATTTTACTTTAGTTTGGTGGGGCTATAAAACGTACATCAAAATAATAATGTTGCAAATCCCAATCAGAATGGGCAACTCAAAATAATCGATAAAGAGAATTTAATGTAAAAATTAAAGAAAATATACGCATAAATACAACCGGAAATAAAGCCACATATCGGATATTCAGATTATTGACTAAAAACTTGTAGCCTAATAGTATAGTGCATTAAAATGTGTTTTTCTTTTAAATGGTTGATAGTTCAAACCTTGTTGTGAAATGTGGATAAATTATATAAATTTATTAATATAATTATTGATTGTGTATTTTTGGTTACAATAATTATTTATAGAGTTAATATATTACGATATGTATTTTTATTTTATAATATTCTAAAGTTCGTATTTTAATTATTATATCTTCCATGTGATTGTTAAGATACTTTTGAACTAAAGTAACTATGTTTTCAAAACAAAAATCTTAAAACATAAATTTTAATATATATAAATCATGAACTTCAAATAAGTATCTTTTATATAAAATTTTCTTTTTATCAAGTAATACCGACTTTCTTATCAACAATATAATACTTTTTACTTTCGAGTTATTCAAAAAAAAAAAAAATACAACAATGTTGATTAAGTTACTAATTTGAAAGAACAAATACAAAATGGAAAAAATAGTAAAAAGGTACCCAATGATGAACCGGACTTTACATAAAGCTGGAAAGCAATCAGACACACGTGCGGATGTTCATCAAAGTTAATACCACCTTCATAACTGCTTTTCTTAGTTTTTCTTTCTTTTTTTCATCTATAATAAGTTATAAAAAATATATATAAAAATATACGTGGGGTATGATTTTTTTTCTAAATTTTGTGTGTGTTTTGGATTTATGGTTTTTTTTTTTTGCTAGTTTGGTTGTGTATTTATCTATTCAAATATTGAAATTACTATAATATCTTTGGGCCATTTATTTTTCATTTCCTTTCATTTATTTTTTTAAATCTAATACTTATTTATTTATTTAAAATCTAATAATTATTTATTCTCTCTCTCTCTCTCTCTCTCTCTCTCTCATCTCTCTCTCTCTCTCGCTCTCTCGATCTCTCTCTCTCTCTCCTCTCTCTCTCTCTCTCTCTCTCTCTGTGTGTGTAACAAGAAAAAATCATTCCCTTGAAGAAAAACATTAAACCACTCTAGACCACCATTGACGGATCGTTGCTTGAAACCAACAAATCGCCACCTCAACTACAACCTCCGACACTAGAGCATGAGAACGTCATCTGAAATAGGTTGGCTGGTTTCAAACGGAAAAACCTCAAGCTATTTTGAATTGATGGTTTTTTTGAGCTAGTTTCGTTATGTATTTGGTCTATTCAAATATTGAAATTACTATAATACCTTTGGGCTATTTATTTTCCATTTTCTTTCATTTTTTTTAAATCTAATACTTATTTATTCATTTTCTCTCTCTCTCTCTCTCTCTCTCATTGTAACAAGAAAAAATCATTCCCTTGAAGAAAAACCATAAACCACTCTAGACCACCATTGACGGATCGCTACTTGAAACCAACAAATCGCCACCTCAGCTACAACCTCCGACACCAAAGCATGAGAACGCTATCTCAACTAGGTTGACTGATTTCAAGCAAAAAAACCTCAAGAATTTGAAGCTCGGGAGGGTAGTTTGTAACATCCCCTCTGGCACGTATCACAATATTGTCTGCTTTGGGCTCCTGATGCGAAAACTTCCCAGGAGGTCACCCATCCCTAGATTGCTCTCGCTCGGGCACGCTTAACGGCGGAGTTCTGATAGGATCTGGTGCATTAGTGTTGGTATGATCGCACCCAGGTGGGTTGCACCTGATCCCACATCGGCTTGGAAGGAGAACGAAACATTTCCTTATAAGGGATGTGGATACCTTCCTTGTCACAACGCGTTTTAAACCCGTGAGGGCAACGGATCCCATAAGAACTCTGCAGTTAAGCGTGCCCGGGCGAGAGCAATCCAGGGATGGGTGACCCCTGGGAAGTTTTCGTGTCGGGAGCCCAAAGCGGACAATATTGTGATACGTGCCAGAGGGGGGATGTTACAAATGGTATCAGAGCTGGGGCACGGGTCGATGTGTTCGACGGGGACGTCGAATCCTATAATAGGGGTGAAGGTGGGTTGCACCTGATCCCACATCGGCTTAAAAGGAGAACGAAACATTTCCTTATAAGGGATGTAGATACCTTCCTTGTCACAACGCGTTTTAAACCCGTGAGGGCAGCAGATCCCATAAGAACTCTGCAATTAAGTATGCCCGGGCGGGCGAGAGCAATCCAGAGATGGGTGACCCCCTGAGAAGTTTTTGTGTCAGGAGCCCAAAGCGGACAATATTGTGATACGTGCCAAAGGGGATGTTACATAGTTGAATCCAAGACGAGTAAAATCGATGCTTTTAAAAGCGAAATCAATTTATGTAACCTAATTGAAGATCTATAGGTAAGTCTATTGAACGAAGTCTGGGATTTTGTTTATCTTAGATGACCTGATTTATGTAAACAAGTTGAAGATCTATTGATGGGACAATTTATATGGGGGTGGGGGTATGCGTGTTTTCCATCGTAGCAACAAGGATCCTCTTCTTCTCATTTGATTTTGAACGAGATGATTTGGTGGTGTGAATCGTAGCCACCCCTCTCTCTATATCTTCTTACAATAAATTAACAACAAGGATTAAGAACAAATTGGTTGTGGCTGGTTGGATTAAGATTCAATTAAATAATAGTATTTGTGGGAT